GAGGTGATGGTCATGGATAAATGTCACAACAATGGTCCTCAGGATCCACCGCCACCATGGCCACTCAATCCACAACGTTGACGTCAGCAGACTGCTCATCCACACGATGCAACACAAGCTGTCTGCCATCATTGAACAGTAAAATCATCTGTGAACAGGACACCTCTCCAACGTGCCAGACGCCATCAAATGAGAGCGTTTGCCCACTCGAGATGGTTAAAGTGACAAACTGCAGTCAGGTCCAGACCCCGATGAGGACCACGAGCATGCAGATGAGCTTCCCTGAGACGGTTTCTGACAGTTTTTGCAGAAATTCTTTGGTTATGCAAACTAATTGTTGCTGCAGCTGTCCGGGAGGCTGGTTTCCACCTGGTCAACCATCCTGGAGGTGAACATGCTGGGTGTGGAGGTCCTGGGCTGGTGTGGTTACATGTGGTCTGCGATTGTGAGGCTGGTTCAATGTACTGCCAAATTCTCTGAAACGCCTTTGAAGACGGCTTATGGCAGAGAAATGAACATTCATTTCATAGGCAACAGCTCTGGTAAACATTCCTGCAGTCAGCATGCCAACTGCACGCTCCCTCAAAAGCTGCGACATCTGCAGCACTGTGCTGTGATCAACCTGCATATTTCAGAGCGGGCAGTCTCAGACACACCTGTGCAATAATCATGCTGTCTAATCTGCACCTTGCCACACCTGTGAGGAGGGATGGATGATCTCAGCAAACAACAACTTCTCACTAACACAGATTTAGACAGATTTAAGAACAATATTTGAGATTCATGGGTCTTTTGTGTATGTAGAAAATTTTTCAGATGTTTGAGTTCAGCTCATGAAAAATGGGAGCAAAATCAAAAGTGTTGAGTTTATATTTTTGTTCAGTGTATGTGTAACTGTACCTGTGAGTAAACATGATTTTCTTTTTTTGGAACAGTTTAAAATAATGTCACAAATATTTGTTGTTTAGAAGAACTGTTACATTTTAATTTTGTGTTGTAAAAAGAAATCCAAAATTCGATGCATTCAGTTTAAAATGACAGTAAGAAAGTAAATGAATGTGTTCAGTAATTAAACCATATGTTGTGTAAACATGGATGTTTTTACCACAAAGGTGGAGGAATAAAAACAACACACTTTTTACGAGTACACAATATACGTTCAAATTAAACAGATGGGGTATTTTCTGGTTAAAAAACAGGGTTAGGGTAGGAGACAATTAACATCTATTAGAGCTCGACCTCAATGAGCGACTGTTCAGAAACTATTATGTCATAATAATTTTAATAACAGTGTAACAGTCACATGTTGAACCTGATTGG